ACCCAACCTAAAAATTAAACGTTGGAACATCGTATTCACATTTTTTTACAAACATGGATTAGATGCATGGAAACGGACTTTGCATAGCATTCTCTTCCCCCCAGTTCTCACAGAGTTGTTGGTTTTTTTGCACTTGTAACTGATGGGTTCCAGGAGAGCGCGAACTCCTAAATAGGAACACCAATTCAGATTTACAAGAGGGATTACGATCTCACTGAAGAGGAAAGGAAGAGGCGGACAATTTATACAACCGTTAAGTTTGCAAAGTTGCATCTTCTCAAAAGAATTTCTTTCCAGGTCCCCAGCAAAAAGGACAAGAATTCCCTCCCCCCCCCAAATTTAAACTTCTCGTCCTTAGATCTGGGATAAGGCAGGTTCTTGTCCCTCGAGTAATTAAGTGCATTATTAAACACCGCTTTTGTTTTTTTTACATTATTGCTAGATCTAACCCAAAGTTATCATTCATCCTTTGAATCCACATCGCAAAACGGTGACAGTTTCACCACCATACAATGGAAAGGCTGGCTTGTTGGAAAACATTTTCCCCCAAAACAGAAAGAGAGAGAGGGAGAGAAAGAAAAAAATAAAAAAATAAAACATCCAGGATGAAAAAAGGAAAGAAAAAAAAAAAACCATATCTTCCAGTTAAATGTTCCTCCACCGTTAATCCGCACGTGAAGAGGTGTGTGGAATCCAAAGCTGTCTGTTTTCTCCCAATAAATATTTAAAATAAAAGTTACAAGCTGTGAGGAACGCAGTCCAGACTGACAAGAGTTTCATCAGCTTTTTAGTCCAAGGAGATGATATCGGGAACGTTGCTCCCACCGCTGCTGCTGCTGCTGTTGCTGCTGCTGGTGAGCACGGCCGTCTCGGTCCGGCCCGAAGAGCTAACGCGAGGGCTGCTTTCGACCGGGCTGGAGGAGGAGGTGAGGAGGTTGCCAGATGTGGTATTTGCTGGCAAGGTCGAGGCGAGACTATCCAAAAACATAGGAGCACAGTACTGCTTGAAACAAACAATGATGGAGGTAAGGGAGAGAGACTAGATGCAAGGGGGGAGAACAGCACACACACCTCAGCCACAGCTAGCCAACTGCACCAAGGTAAAAAAAAAAAAAAAGTGTTTCTCAACTACACGATGCGTGGACTTCGACTCCCAGAATTCCACAGCCAGCAGGGCTGGCTGGGGAATTCTGGGAGTCGAAGTCCACGCATCTCATAGTCACCAAGGTTAAAGAAACACTGATCTGGACGGAGATTCTCAACCATCCACATCGTGGGTTATCCCAAAGGTGCTTTTCGTAAAAGGCAACTTGGTCCTTCTCAATTTTATAATAATAATAATAATAATAATAATAATAATAATAGTAGTAGTAGTAGTAGTAGTAGTAGTAGTAGTAAAGTTGGAAGGGACCTTGGAGGTCATCTAGTCCAACCCCCTGCTCAGGAAGGAAACCCTATACCATTTCGGACAGATGGCTGTCCAGTCTCTTCTTAAAAACTTCCAGTGTTGGAGAATTCACAACTTCTGGAGGCAGGTTGTTCCACTGGTTAATTGTTCTAACGGTCAGGAAGTTTCTCCTTAGTTCTAGGTTGCTTCTCTCCTTGATTAGTTTCCACCCGTTGCTTCTTGTCCAGCCTTCAGGCGCCTTGGAAAATAGCTTGACTCCCTCTTCTTTGGGGCAGCCCCTGAGATACTGGAAGACTGCTATCCTGTCCCCCCTCGTCCTTCTCTTCGTTAAACTAGACATCCCCAATTCCAGCAGCCTTTCCTTATATGTTTTAGCCTCCAGTCCCCTGATCACATTTGTTGCTCTTCTCTGCACTCTTTCTAGAGTCTCAACATCTTTTTTACATCACGGTGACCAAAACTGGATGCCGTATTCCAAGTCTGGCCTTACCAAGGCATTGTAAAGTGGTATTAACCCTTCACGTGATCTTGATTCTATCCCTCTGTTAATGCAGCCTAGCCCTGTGTTGGCCTTTTTGGCAGCTGCAGCACACGGCTGGCTCCTATTTAAGGGATCGTCCACTAGGACTCCGAGATCCCTCCTGCAGTTACTACTATTGAGCAAGGTAACGTTTCACTTCACATCCAAGTACCGAAGAAGCTTCCTGAGTGAGAAATGAAATGTTTTCAAGGGAAAAAAAAACACACCAAGAAGCCAGTTGCCCTTTGGAAAAGCACTTTTGGGACATTGAACTGGACTGAGACATCCTGGTCGAGTCCAGAGCAGCAGTGGCAAAACTCCGAGACATCTACACGATTATCATGCAAATAGACTCCTGGGCTTATAAACCCAGGAGGGGAGAGAGAGAGAGACTCATTATGGCAGGGGTCCCCAACCCCCAGTCTGTGGACCGGTACCGGGCCGCAGCATGCCAAAACCCGGTTCGCACAAACAAGCAAAGCCCCATCTGCGGGATGCAGGCAGCACACGAAACCACGCACCCTCCGGTCCGCGGAATAACCTCTCTCCATGGAACCGGTCCCTGGTGCCCAAAAGGTTGGGGACCTCTGCATTATAGGACCTTTCCCCCCGAATTTAGGTAAAGCATTCCTGATTCCCGATAGCAAATGAAAACAAAAGCTTGATGCAATACAATAAAAACCCAAACTTTTTTTTTAAAAAAAGAGAGATAGTCAGGAGAACAGACATATAAGTGCATAAACACAATCCTAAAGCCTGCCTAAGCCTAAGGCCTGGGGGAAAAGAGGCAGCTCTTTTGAGGCCTGCTTGAAGACAAGACAGGGTTGGAGAGGGTTGTCCAAATTGTCACATGGCAGAGGACCAATGCTGTGACAGAAAAGGCACTCTGGACTCCGATAAGTTGGCACTGCTTACTAGATGCCAACCATGTCACAGCTTATGGGATGACAAAAAAAAAATGGGAGAAAGAACTGCCCCTTGAAAAACCACCAGGGACCCCATAGGTCAGGGATCCCCAACCTACGGGCTGCGGCCCACTACCGGGCCGTGGCCTATTGGCCACAGGGCTGCGGGACAGTGCGGGCATGTGTGTGGGGCCACTCACCCTAGGTGCCCACAGACCCATTTGCGCATGCGTGTGAAGCTAACAGCAGCGGCTAGCGCCTACACACCAGCACAAATGGCGCCACTAGTGCAGGTTGTGTGGCCCATTTGCACGTGCACGGAGGGCTAGTGGAAGTGGCTAGCGCCTGAGCGCCAGCGCAAAAAGGGCCACTAGCGTCATGCAGGTTGTATGGTCCCTTTGCGCCTGCACGACTAGCACAAGACCACTAGTGCCGTGCGGATGTGGTCCCGTTAAAGTGCGTGTCTCCACAGGGGCACAATTTTCCCAGCTGCTCCCTTTCCCTCCAGGCTGCCAGAATGAAAAAGTGGGTAACCTCTAACACAGGTGACCTTTATAGCACCTTGAATTACATCCAGAGGTCTGCCAGTAGCCCCTGCAGCTTCCCTAGTAGAACTATCAAGAGGGGCGTAGTAACAAGGCCCATCCATTACTGCTGCATTCTGGGCCAGCTATAGCTTCTGAGAGAACAGTCCCCTCTAAAGTGTGTTTGGCAGTCGCCCAGATGAGGGAAAAATATCCTTACAACAATGAAACCAAATTGGCATTGACCTAAATTATTGGTAGGGCTCAGAAGCGGTATGGAGAATTTTGGAGAAGACATTGGATTTTATTGATCTATGGCAGGGGTAGGCAACCGTGGCTCTTTTATGACTTGTGGACTTCAACTCCCAGAATTCCTGAGCCAGCCATGCTGAGGGAAAATGGAGAGGTTCCCAAGCTGAGGCATGCTGGCTCAGGAATTCTGGGAGTTGAAGTCCACGAGTCATAAAAGAGCCAACCGTGGCCATTTTAAGACTTGTGGACTTCAACTCCCAGAATTCCTGAGCCAGACATCCCAGGCTCAATCCAGGATACCAAGACTGATGCTATCAAAAGCTGATGAAAGCTCAAGAAAAACTGGGAATCTACTCAAGGGCCATATATATATTTAATAATAATAATAATAATAAGAGTTGGAAGGGACCTTGGAAGCCATCTAGTCCAACCCCCTGCTCAGGCAGTAAACCCTATACCATTTCGGACCAATGGCTGTCCAGTCTCTTCTTAAAAACTTCCAGTATTGGAGCATTCACAGCTTCTGGAGGCAGGTTGTTCCACTGATTAATTGTTCTAACTGTCAGGAAATTTCTCCTTAGTCCTAGGTTGCTTCTCTCCTTGGTTAGTTTCCATTCGTTGCTTCTTGTCCTGCTTTCAGGCACTTTGGAGAATAGCTTGACTCCCTCTTCTTTGGGGAAGGCCCTAAAATACTGGAACTACACGTCACCCCTAGTTTTCCTTTTCATTCAACTAGGCATACCCAATTCCTGCAACCGTTCTTCATATGTTTTAGCCTCCAGTCCCCTGATCATCTTTGTTGCTCTTCTCTGCACTCTTTCTAGAGCATTTATTTTATATTGTTTTAATTATTATTATTTTCACATTTTATGCTGTATACTGCCCAGAGATGCTTGAGGTGGAGAAAGCCAATAAATAATAAACAGCTGCCCCCACCTCTATTCCTGTCTTCTTGTCTGAGATAATTCAACGTTTAAACTAACACGTCTGGATGACAGAAACCACGGGAGTCGTGTCGTTTAATTGCACAGCCACAACTGTAGTGTTTAACTCTTCTCGGAGGCCTTCCAACTTCTCATTTCAAACTCATTCCAGCTTAGGTCAGGTCTCTGTGAAGGGTAAAAGCTGATCAGAAGCAGTTAAGGCCCTTACCTGTGGATCAACTGGGATTAAAGAGAGAAAATCCAAGCCTATGGAGAGAAGAAACACATGTGCCTTCGGTAAATATGTGTTGTACGAAAGGATACATGGGATTGACATGCTGTGATCATGGACCACAGGAGATGAAATGCTGGGCAAGGGGAGAAAATTCAAAACGTCACTGAATCACCACACCCTCTGAGCCATCTGGGACGGGCTAAACTACAATTGATCCCAAAATTTCTGTTGCTAAGCAAAACAGGTTGTTAAGTGAACTTTGCCCCATTCTACGATCTTTCCTGCCACGGTTGTTAAGCGCATCCCTGCAGTTTTTAAGTTAGTGGCACGGCTGTTAAGCGAATCTGGCTTGCCCCCCACTGACTTTGCTTGTCAGAAGGTCGCAAAAAGGGGATCGCGTGACCCCGGGACACTGCAACCGTCATGAGTCCGGATTTTGATCACATGACCCTGGGGATGCTGCAATGGTGGCAAGTGTGAAAAATGGTGATACCGTATATACTCGAGTATAAGTCGACCCGAGTATAAGCCGAGGGACCGATTTTCCCACAGAGAACTGGGAAAAATTGGTGACCCGCGCATAAGCCGAGGGGGCATTTTGGCTGTTCCTCCCTGGCCGCCGCCCCACCCCCGCCGCCCCACCCCCGCCGCCGCCNTGCTGACTCGAGTATAAGCCGAGGGGGGCATTTTTCAGCCCCAAAAATGGGCTGAAAAACTCGGCTTATACTCGAGTATATACGGTAAGTCTTTTTTTTCCCCAGTGCCATTTTAACTTCAAACAGTCACTAAACAAATGGCTGTAAGTCAAGGACTATCTGTAGGTTTAAGGAATAAATGGACAATACATCTCAACAGTGAGCTTGGAAATTGGAGAGAAATAATAATAATAATAATGATGATGATAATAATAATAATAATAATAATAATTAATAATAAATAATAATAATAACAATAACAAAACAATAATAATAACAATAACAATAATAATAATAATAGTTGGAAGAACCTTGGAGGTCATCTAGTCCAACCCCCTGCTCAGGCAGGAAATCCTATACCATTTCGGACAAATGGCTGTCCAGTCTCTTCTTGAAAACTTCTCAGGGGCCGCCCCAAAGAAGAGGGGGTCAAGCTATTCTCCAAAGCGCCTGAAGGCAGGACAAGAAGCAACGGATGGAAACTCATCAAGGAGAGAAGCAACCTAGAACTAAGGAGAAACTTCCTGACAGTGAGAACAATTAACCAATGGAACAACCTGCCTCCAGAAGCTGTGAATGCTCCAACACTGGAAGTTTTTAAGAGGAGACTGGACAGCCATTTGTCCAAAATGGTATAGGGTTTCCTGCCTGAGCAGGGGGTTGGACTAGATGACCTCCAAGGTACCTTCCAACTTTACTACTACTACTACTACTACTACTACTACTACTACTATTATGGGTCATCGCGCAGTCAGCCAGATGTTCAGACTGGATCTGGCATTTTTGTCTACCTATCGAGTCCTTCCCAAGGACCTGGGATAGGCAGATGTGGATGTTTGGTGGTATTACAGATCTCGTCGCAGGATGGAAGCGGTTCCTAGTAAGGCCGCCTTTTGCAATTGATTGATGGCGAATTTGTCAATTATTATTATTATTGTTATTATTATTATTACCTCCAAGGTCCCTTCCGACTCTGTCATTCTGTGATGCGTTGCAGCCCACAATCCCAATCGGTTCCAAAAACCGAACCTGCACTTACCAGGCAAGTCAGACGAAATGCTGGATATGGATGGATTGTGGAAGGGCACAGAGTAGCCTGTTAACGACGGGGCGATGGCCGTAGAATCCACCGTGCTGACTCCCGGGACTCGAACAGCTGCTGGCTGATACACAAGAACGCTGGTTGGGGGGAAAACAAACAAACAAACAAAAAGCAGATGAAACATTAAAATAAACCAGAGGTTACCCGAAAGAGAGTTAAGGCACCGTGCAACAGTGTCCTATTGTCCGTGAGGCCACCAGTTAAATCCTGAGCTACAAATATTCTCCACTGCGAGTAAACCAAGCCTGTCTCCTGGCAAACCAAGGCCACGGGATCTTCTTACATCTCAGAGATAAGAGGATTTTTTTTAAAAGAGTGGCTAGTTTCAGAGGAAAGCAAAGTAAAGCTGGGTGGTTTTCTTGCAGACATTTCATTACCTAACTAGGTAACATCTTCAGTACTAGAAGGGAATAAAGTTTGGGAAGTGGAGGTGGAAGTGGAGGAGGAGGAGGAGGAGGAGGAGGAATGTGGGGTCCTTGGTGCTCTCTGAGCTGGGTTGTTTCCCTGCAGACATTTCATGACCCAACTACAGGCAGTCCTGGACTTACGACAGTTCATTGAGTGGCCGTTCCAAGTTACAACGGCCCAGAAAAAAAGTGACTTAGGACCATTTCCCCATACTTACGGCCACTGTAGCAACCCCCGGGGTCACGTGATCAAAATTCAGATGCTTCACAACCGACTCGTATTTACGACAGTCGCAGTGTCCCCGGGGTCCATCGCCTTTCTCCAACTCCTGACGAGCAAAGTCGATGGGGAAAGCCAGAGGCACTTAGCAACCGTGTGACTAACTTGACCAGTGCAGGGATTCACTTAACAACCGGGGCGAGAAAGGTTGTAAAATGGGCCCAAAACCTCACTTGGCCCGTCTCCCTTAGCAACAGACATTTTGGGTCCAATTGGGGTCGTCGTAAGTCAAGGACTGCCCGTCTCCACCTCTATTGGTGAATGAGGAAGCTTCGCCCAGCTAAACCTGATTTCGGTCGGAGAGCCAGAAAAGCTCAACGCAAGACGGAGAAAAGGGACCCACAAGAGCCAGGGAGCCCCCCTGGCCCCCTCCCAACCCATCCTCCCCAGCCGAGAGGGACCAAGGGAAAGGAACCAACCCTTTCGTGGGACTCGCTTGGGTGTCCGACATGTAGATGCACTTCCGCTTGGGCGGGGCGTCCTCCTCTTCCTCGGAGGAGCTTTCCACGGTCAGGTCGATGACGTCCACCTTCTTCTTGCTGACCTCGCCGCCCGGGCTGGAGCCCTGCTTGCCCATCACGGCGGCCCCCGGAGCGTGCAGAACTGGGAGGGGGGGAAAGAGAGCAGCGGCCATTGAACACGGCGGACTCAGCCTTCCGTCCTTCTGTGGTCGGTAAAAGGAGGACCCAGATCATTCCTCCCTCCCTCCCTTTCTTCCCTTCCCTCTCTGAAGGCGCAGTGGTTAGAATGCAATATTGCAGGCAGACTCTGCCCGCAGCCTGGAGTTCGATCCTGACGCGGCTCAAGGTTGACTCAGCCTTCCAAGGTCAGTAAAATGAGGACCCAGATCCATCCATCCTTTCCTTCCTCCCTCCCCTCCCTCTCTGAAAGCGCAGTGGTTAGAATGTGGTACTGCAGGCAGACTCTGCCCACAGCGTGGAGTTCAATCCTGACGATGCTCCAGGTTGACTCAACCTTCCATCCTTCCAAGCTCGGTAAAAGGAGGACCCAGGTCCATCCATCCATCCTTTTCTTCCTTTCTTCCCTCCCTCTCTGAAGGCACAGTGGTTAGAATGGAGTATTGCAGGCAGACTCTGCCCACAGTCTGGAGTTTGATCCTGACGGGGCTCAATGTTGACTCGACCTTCCATCCTTCAAGGCTCGGTAAAAGGAGGACCCAGATCCATCCTTCCTTCCTTCCTCCCTCCTTCCCTCCCTCTCTGAAGGCACAGTGGTTAGAATGCAGCATTGCAGGCAGACTCTGCGAACAGCCAGGAGTTTGATCCTGATGGGGCTCCAGGTTGACCCAGCCTTCCAAGGTCAGCAAAAGGAGGACCCAGAGGGCTGGGGGTAAATAGGCTGCACAATGTAGAAACAGTCTGAAAACTGGAGCCAAAATTCACGTCTTTTCTGGGCACAGACTAAGTCGTGACTGGGAGGTCTTCTGGCCCAAGAGAGGTGTGGCAAGTTTGACAGACTTAGTCTAATTGGGCAGGAAGACAGTTAACCCATTTGTGGATTCTCCATCTTCATGCTGGAGAACCCCACTTCCTTCTAGCACTGATAACGTTACCGAGTTGAGTAATGAAACATCTGCAAAGGAACGACCCAGCTCAGAGAGCCTGAAGGACCCCACAGTACAGGTAATCCCCGAGTTACGAGCGTTCCCTTAACGCTCGTTCGAAGTTACGAGAGGAGCGCCCCCTAGTGCTTACGAGCAAGTCCCGAAGTTACGAACATTGCGGCACCACGGCAGTCATTCGCCCTTCCGAGCGACCGCAGAGGCACTGCGATACTCACCCTGGCTATTCCCTCCCTCCCTGCCCCGGGTCTCCCCCGGCACCAGGCCTTCAATACTCACCCGGCGAAGATCCAGATCCTTCACTTACTCAGCTGCTCCAGGCCTTCGGTGCGTTTGCGGAGAATGGAGGCCTAAAGTAACGCTAGATCACATGAGATCAGTGGGGCGAGATCACACGCTACGGATCTCGCTTGATCGCATGGTACTTTAGGTCTCTGTTCTCTGCAACAGAGAATGGAACCGAAGCCATGGGATACTTCCGCGGCCCTCCGGAGGCTGGATCTGGGCGTTGGAGGCCTTTTCTGGGTTGCTGCCGTCTGGATGTGACATCGTGGGACACTTCCGTGGCCCAATCCAGGCTCCGGAGACCTTCTCAAGGCCACTGCCGACTGGATCGGGCTGCTGAAGGAAAGCATCCCCCAGCCTTGCTTCCAGATGGCAGCAACCTGGAAAAGGCCTCCGACAACCCAATCCGGCCTCCGGAGGCACGTGGAAGCGTCACCCAGCCTTAGATCCGGGTGGCAGCAGGAACCACGGCAGAGAGGAGACAGATCTTTTCCAGGTGAGTCTGGCGCGGCAGGAAGGGAGGTATGAGGTATTCTAGAGGGTTGGGGAGGCCTTGGGGGCCTGTTCCATCAGTAGGCCCCCCCATGGCCTTCCCCACCGAGATACCTCGTGTGCACTTAACAAGCCGCGTGCGTCTTAGCGATCAAGGGAGTGACCTCGTTCGAGGTACAAGATTCACTCCCATGAGTTTTCGAGTTACAAGTGGAATGGGCAGGCTCCATTACAGGCGTAACTCGAGGATTACCTGTACTGACAAAGTTTGTTCTTGAGGTGCAAAAATGGTTATTGTTTTTACTTGGGACCAACTTTTGCTACTTTTTCCTCCTTAAAATGAATCACACCCAGTTCCATAGTGGGACACTGTTGGGGACAATTATGTCAAAAAGCCTTATACCTCTGTAGTCATGCAGAAAATATAGAGTTTTCATCATCATATTTTCATTTCAATCTCTGCTGTAGTGTAAAGTTTATTTTTGGGATCTCTGAGAGTACGTTCCCTGTTCCTTTTTTGTTTTATTTAATGAATAAAAGGTGCGTTGTCTTACCTGAATGCCTTTTTTCAGCATGACGATGGAGAATCCACCAATGGGTTCTGCTTGTTTTCTGCCCGTAGACTAAGTCAGCCAATTTTGCCACGTCTCTCCTCCTGGGTCCTCCCTTTCCCAGTCTCGACTGAGACGAAGCTGTTGGCTGTGTTTCCGGTGTGTTGGCTCAATCTTTTCCCAGCACAGGACCTGACTGGCCCTAAGGGTGGGAGTGGATTCTCCATCGTCATGCTGAGAAAAGGCGTTCAGTTAAGACAACGCCCCTTCTCCAGCATGATGAGTGGAGAATCCACCAATGGGACGTACCAAAGCCTCACTGTCCCTGTGGGTGGGAAGCCGTCTGGGCTTGTGTCCCACTCCCTGACACTACGTGTTGGAGGACCCTCCTGCCAAATGAGACCTCCGCCGATGCGAACTTATCTAGCTTGTAGTGTCTTATAAAAGGGGAAGGTGACGCCCACGTCGCCGCCCTACATATTTCCTCAATCGGTGCCTGAGTCGCCCACACTGCTGATGTTGCAGCGCTGCGAGTGGAGTGGGCAGTGATTTGTCTAGGAACTGCTAGCAACTGCCCCTAGTATGACTGTGCTATGCACTTCCGGATCCACCTGCCGATTGTGGATGCTGCGACCCTTGAGTGCGAGTGGAAGGAAACGAACAGGGCCTCTGATTTGTGGAAGGGTGCCGTTCGCTTTATGTATTGCCTTAAGGCCCCGCGAACGTCCAAGATGTGCCATTTGCACTCCAATTCATGGGAGGGCTGAGGGCAAAAATCTGGTAGCACCACCTCTTGTGCCCTGTGGAATAGGGAATTGACCTTGGAAATGAAGGAGGGGTCCAGGCGTAGGACCACCCTGTCTGTATGGAAGGTACAGAGATGTTCTCTGATAGTGCTGCCAATTCTGAAATGCGCCTTGCCGAAGTAACGGCGACTAGAAATGCGACCTTAAGGGTCAGGTACTGCAATGTGCAGGTCCTGACAGGTTCAAATGGAGTAGAGGTAATGGCCTGTAGGACCTTAGACAGATCCCAGGAGGGATATCTGTGCACCACGGGTGGTCTGCTGTTTGTTGTGCCCTTAATAAAGGCTCGCACCACTGGGTGTTTGGCCAGTGGTTTAGAGTTGCCATATGTGAGAATAGTGGACAGGGCGGCCACCTGTCTACGAATTGTATTGGGTGCTAGGCCCCTATCTAGACCCTCCCCTAAGTAGTCTAAGAGCCTTGGAATAGTGATACTAAAGGGGTCTAGCTGCTGCCTTGCGCACCAACTGCAGTAATTTCTCCACATGGAGTCGTAAATTCTGTTAGTTGTAGGCCTTCTTGAGGCCTGGATTGTCTTAATGACTCTTTGTGAATAGTTCTCCCCTTCTAAGAGGCTCCGCTCAAGTGCCAGGTGGCTAATTGGAGCCGCTGTGGCTCTGGATGTAGTAGAGTCCCCTGGCTGAGTGAGATTTGATCGTGCGGAATCCTCCACGGCGGGGATGCAGAAAGGCTTACGAGGTCGGCAAACCACGGCCGTCTTGGCCAGTGTGGTGCAATGAGAATTACCTCTGCTTGTTCCTGCAATATCTTTTTGATGGTTGCTTGTATCAGAGGAAGCGGTGGGAAAGTGTATAGCAACCCTTCCGGCCAGTGTCCCCAAAGCGCATCTGCTCTCTCCGCCCCGGTAACGGAAAACGGGAGAAGAACCTCGGGAGCTGAGCATTTTTGCGGCTGGCAAATAGGTCCAGTACTGGGTGGCCGAACCTCTCTGATGCCTCCCTAAAGAGAGCAGGGTGCAGGTTCTACTCTGAGTGGTCTATCGTCGCTCTGCTCAGGAAGTCCGCCTGTTGATTTGCTTCTCCTGATATGTGCTCAGCCTTGAGGGAGACTAGGTTGCTCTCGGCCCAGGTTCCCAGCAATTGGGCCTTGGTCATGAGGGATCGGGACCGTGCGCCCCCATCGGTTGACGTGGGCCTTGGCAGCCACGTTGTCCGTGAGAATCAAGACGTGCTGATCCGCCACTGCGTTGTGAAAGTGGCAGAGCGCCAGGTGTATGGCTCTGAGCTCTAACCAGTTTATGTTGTGTTTTAGGTCCTCCTTTGACCATTGACCCTGTGCCAGATTTGATTGTAGGTGTGCTCCCCAACCGAATAGACTGGCGTCCGTGGTCAGAACGACTCGGTTGGTCTCCTTGAACATGTGTCCCTTTTCCACCGCTGGGGATGATCACCACTGGAGCGACTTCAGGACCTTTGGTGGAACCCTTACTCTTCGGTTGGAGGAGCTGGTTCCCCTTTTTTGGAACGGGAGTAGGAACCACTGCAGATCTCTGGAATGTAGCCGTGCCCAGGGCATGATTGCTAGACATGAAATCATCTTTCCCAGCAAGTGGGAAAGTGTGGCCAGTGTTGTGGTTTGCTTCTTTCGAATCAGCCTGACCAGGGTTCGAATGCTGTTTTGTCATTCTCAAGAGAGGTAGACCTTGGACTTTAGGGTGTCTATCACAGCTCCCAGATGAAGAAGACGGGTCGATGGGACCATCTGACTCTTTTAAAAATTTACTGAGAACCCGTGTTCCTGAAGGGTTGTTAGGGTCAGTATCAGATCTGACTGTGCTGATTGAACTGACGAGGATTGGATTAGAATGTCGTCCAGATAGCATTGGATGCGCACAAGAATTGTTCGCAGATGTGCGGCGAGTGTCACCAGTACCTTTGTGAATACTCTGGGAGCTGAAGAAAGTCCAAAGGGCAGGGCCGTGTATTGAAAATGCCGCCCTGCGTGACAGAACCTGAGAAACCTCCGGTGTTCCGGAAGTATGGGAATGTGAAGGTAAGCCTCCGTCAGATCTATGGACATCAGGAAGTCTCCCCTTCTGATGCCTGCTAATATTGACTGGAAAGTTTGCATTTTGAAATTTCTGTATGCCAAGTGGTTGTTTGGACTTTTGAAGTCTAGAATTGCTCTCCAACCCCCTACCCCCCGAACTCTTTGGGACTATAAATAAGATGGAATAGAATCCCTGTCCCTGCTGCCCTTTTTCTACTGGTTCTATGGCCTGGATGTCCAGGAGGTGATGGATGGCCTCCTTGATAAGGTTCCTCTTGGTCAGATCTTTTGGAGATGGGCAAGGGACGAAGCGGTTCGGGGGTTTGGAGATGAATTCCAGTGAGAGGCCAAATCTGACAGTATTTAGGACCCAAAGGTCCGTGGTGGTGGCTTGCCATTTGTGAGCGAAAAGAGCTAGCCTGCCACCAATGGGGGAGTCCTCCCCGCCGTCACTTGGATTTTCGGAAGGGGCGGCCCCCCCGCTCCTCGAAAGGGCCGTTTTGACTGGAATTGTTGTCTGAATCTGTCCCTGTTGCCGGTTCTATCACTCTGTCGGTCTGACCTGGACTGATAGGGACGGGAAAAAGAGTTTTGTGCTGGGCCTGCCTCAGATCGAAAGGATGGTCTGCGAGGGTAGGAAGAGACTCTCCTCTCCGTTCTCCTTCACAAGTGGGCCAATACCTTGCATTTGTCCTTGTTCTCTATCAGATAAGGATTAAGGGCCTCACCAAAAAGCAGGCCGCCGTTGTAGGGCGCTGCCGCCAACCGCCACTTTGCCTTAATGTCGGCTCGCCACTGTCTGAGCCACAGCAATCTGCGTGCTGCGGTGTTGTACGCTATTGCCCTTGCAGAATAGTTTGCTGCTTGTAAGGATGAATCTGCCATGAGCTCCGCTGCCGCCACTAACCTTCTTAAGTCCTGGTGGGTTCTCTCCTCCTCCGGAGAGGTCCTCGCCTGGAGTTGGCGTAGCCAGAGCAGCGAAGTCCTAGCGAAAAAGGAGGTACAGATGGCTGCCTTGATTGCCCACACCGAGGCCTGGTGTGCCCTGCAGAAGGTGAGATCCGCCTTCTTATCCTCTGATTTCAGGGCCTCCGCCGCATCCCCGGTTACCGTGGATGGAGAAAAAAGAGCAGCTAGAGGTTTATCTACTGTCGGAACCTCTATTACCTCCGATAAGGTCAGATCTATGTTGAACAGCTTCTTGTCTGTCCCCCCCCCCCTTTGGGAGGAAAGACCCCGGTGCCCCCATATTATTCTGAATTGTATCAAAGAAGAGAGGGGGACAGGGAATAAATTGTTGTGTGTAAATGGGCTGTGAGAACACCCTGTTGTTTGTGACCTGACTAGTTGAAGGTCCCTCCTGAGGAAGCAAAGGTCTCTCAATCTTTGCGGTGCTGCTGGCCTTTTGGAGCAGAGACTCGAATAGAGTCGGGTTAAAGAGACCCACGAAGGGTGGGGGGTCAGGGGATATATCATCGTCCTCTGACAGCCCCTGATCCGTTTGCTCATAGTCCTCCGCAGAAGACCTCCTGCCTCTGGAGGACCGAGAAGGGGAAATTGAGTCCTGGTACACAAAGGCTTCCTCTTGGGACAGGTGAGAATGGCCTCTTGAAACCACAGACCCGGCTCTGGAGACATGATGTCTTGAAAAGGCCATAGCCTGGGCGACGGCCTGAGATATCAGGGATTGTAAGTGTTCTGATGACACTTCACATAGAGGAGATCCGATTGCCTGTTCTGTGTCAGCCTCTGTTTCCAGAGGTTCCTGACTAGGCTTCATCGGGCCAAATATTTCCTCCTCCTTGTAAGAGGGTGGGACCAAACCGTCTTCTGCTGTGTTTTGCCTCTTTTCAGCTCTAGAAAACTGTTTTTCCAGAGCCTGGTGTCGACGTTTGGCCTCCGTGTCCGCTGTCTTGGAAGGCTTTTTGCCAGATATTGCTTTGGCCTTGATCCTGCCCGCTGCCTCCTGGTTGGATGATCTTGGCCTCTTACGACCAGGAGGGCTAATGGAGGCTTCCTGTGTTGTCTGGGCAGCGATTGTGTCTGCCATTGGTAAAAAAAAAAAAAAAGAGAGAGAGAGATATCTCAGCGCAAGACTGAGAAAAATCTCTATTAAGAGGCCTGGTGAGGGGTCTAGTCCAGGGGACAATCTGTTGCCAATGTAACAGGTTCCTTTCTGCTTCATATACACACATACATACGTACATACATACATACATACATACATATTAGCGTAGCTAGGAAGAGCGAAGGCACAACTTGCCTCCAATTGCCTTGAGCAAGGAGCCCAATTTGAATACTCCCTTGCCTCCCCCGCTCCAAAGAACACGTGGAACCAAGGTGGCGGTCCGATCCCCTTGTTCTCTCTCTCTCCGCAGCTCAGCTGAGTTCCTCCACCTACTGGCTGGGCTCCGATAATAAAAAAACCTTCGGAGATTTTAGGCTCCCCGCCGATTGGCAGAGCTTCGGGGAGGCCACGGGAGTCCTTTATCTCTCCGCGGATCAGCTGGGCTTCGGAGGAAGCCGCAGAAATGTGGTAAGTCTCCGCAAATCAGCTGGTTTCGGGGGAGGGGCCACGGGAGGCTTTTTAGCTTCCCGTGGCTCAGATAGAGTTCGGGGGGAAAACCGCGAGAGTCCTAATTCAGCACGGATCAGCTGGCCTTCGGGGGAAGCCTCACGGAGTTTTATTCCAGCATTTGATAATAGGCTGAATTTTGGGAAGCTCGGCTGTTCTTCCGGGGTAGCGAAAAGGACCGGTGACCTCCCTGTGGGGGGGGAGGGGGGGAGGATTGAGGAGGGGTGGAGAGGAAGCCTCCCTTCACCCTAGAGCTCACGCGGTGTTAAAATGGCATCTGGCTCTTTGTTCTCCCTCTGATGATCGGCTGGGCTAAAACAAGCCTGCCGGCTGCGCTGCAATCGGCAGGGATGAGAAAAACGAACAGCCGTTCGTTTCCCACTCCCCTCTCCCTCTTTCTGTAAGGAAAAAGTGAAAATACGGCCTGATCTAGCGATCTGATCCTGGAGCCAAGATGAATCTGTCTGTTCGGGCTAAAGACTAAGTCGAGACTGGGAAAGGGAGGACCCAGGAGGAGAGACGTGGCAAAATTAGCTGACTTAGTCTACGGACAGAAGACAAGCAGAACCCATTGGTGGATTCTCCACTCGTCATGCTGGAGAAAAGATAGGGAAAGGAGACCCCTTGGAAGCGTTTGTGGACTCTAGGACAGGTGTCAGTAAAGAGTAAAAATAGCCGCCAGTTTGGTCTAGTACTTAAGGTGCCAGGCTAGAAAGTTGGGAGTTCTAGCCCTGCCTTAGCCGTGAAAGTCAGCTAGGTGACTTTGGGCCAATCACCAGGGGCTAGTGAGTTCTAGTCCCGCCTTACGCACAAAAGCCAGTTGGGTGACTTTGGGCCAATCACCAGGGGCTGGTGAGTTCTAGTCCCGCCTTAGCCATGAAGGGCAGCTGGGTGACTTTGGGCCAATCAACGGGAGACGGTGAGTTCTAGTCCGTTAATCATGAAAGCCAGCTGGGTGACCTTGGACCAAGCCCTCTCTCTCAGCCCAACCCGCCTCACAGGCTTGTTGTTGTGGAGAAAATAGGAGGAAGACGTGTTGGACATGTTCACCGCCTCGGGTTGTTTGTCAGGCAGGATACAAACCAATCAATAAAATAAAAATAAAAATACTCAAAAAGCAGGGACCTCAGGAAAACCTTCCCCACCCACCGGTGGGAAGGAAGCTTTTGGGTTAAGGCAGCAGTTCCTCTCTCTTAGTAGATTACAATACTCAGGGCTGCAACCACTCACCTCACCTCACCTCACCCATTTCAACCCCCGAGGCCCAGTGGGAAGGTTCCCTTCCCCATCTGCCTCTGCTCACCTTGCTGTGTGCTTCAGGAAGGGTGTGTTATGGTCTCTTGTCATCGGAAAAAAAGCTAGAGGAGTACCAGGTTCAACCCAGATCGGCAGGGGTAACTTCCCAGCCCAAAGGGGGGAGGGAAAAAAAACCCTACAGGTTACTTACTTTCTATTTTGGGGCACTGTGAGCTAACAACTTTCAAGGACTCCTTCTTCGGCCTCATGGGGCACCAGGAACCGTCCTCCTGGAACTTGATCTCGTCGACGTCCGAACATTCGTTCAAAATTTCCATGAAGAGGCTAGGAGACAACATTAAACGTTAACAGGGGACAAACAGACCCAGCACACTTTCCCCTTGTGGGGGAAATACCCCACCAGAACAATCCGGTGAGGTGCTTCGGCGGAGAGAGCGTGAGTCGCCCAAACGCACCCAGCTGGCTTTCATGGCTAAGGTAGGACTTGAACTCAGTCTCCCACTTTCTAGCCTGATGCCTTAACCATGAGACCAAACTGGCTCTCTTGTTTTGTTTAGATCTGTCCTTGATTTGGATGCCATTAACTGGGAAAATATACATTTGCATACAGTGATCGTTTTGTTTTTTTTGGCACTTTGCATTTCAGTGACCCAGAAATTATTATTCTGTCATAGTCAAATAAGTAACTGTTAGGTTAGATCCCGTGACCTGTTCATTGCGAAGTTGATGCCTTTTATTCCTCTATAGATATGCATTTGTTTACAATTACTTATACTTAGCCACTAAACCAGGGGTAGGTAACCTTGGCTCTTTTATGACTCGTGGACTTCAACTCCCAGTATTCCTGAGCCAGCATGGCTCAGCTTGGAAACCTCTCCCTTTCCCCTCAGCATGGCTGGCTCAGGAATTCTGGGAGTTGAAGTCCACAAGTCATGAGGGGGCCATAGTTCCCTCATGCTGCCTCAGGAATTCTGGGAGTTGAAGCCAAGTCTTAAAAGTTGCCAAGTTTGAAGACCCCTGATCTAGGCGCAGGGGTGGGGAACCTTGGCTCTTTTATGACTCGTGGACTTCAACTCCCAGAATTCCTGAGCCAGCCGTGCTGAGGGGAAAGGGAGAGGTTTCCAAGCTGAGCCATGCTGGCTCAGAATTTCTGGGATTTGAAGTCCACGAGTCATAAAAGAGCCAAGGTTGCTTACCCCTGGGGTATAGGGTTTCCTGCCTGAGCATGGGGTTGGATTAGAAGACCTCCAAGGTCCCTTCCAACTACTCTGTTCTATTCTTTCTCTACTCTACTCTATTCTACTCTATTTCTATTCTATTCTATTCTATTCTACTCTACTCTACTCTATTCCAATATCTATTCTATTCTATTCTTATTCTATTCTAATTTTATTCCATTCCATATTTTCTATCCTATCCTATCCCATTTTATTCCATTCCATTTTCTATTCTGTTCTGTTCCGTTCCATATTTTCTATTCTATTCTATTCCATTCCATATTTTCTATCCTATCCTATTTTATTCCATTCCATTTTCTATTCTGTTCTGTTCCGTTCTGTTCCATATATTCTTATTCTATTCTATTCTAATTCTATTCCATTCCATATTTTCTATCCTACCCTACCCTACCCTATCCCATTCCATTTTTTATTCTATTCCATATTCCATCCCATATTCCATCGATTATTACAAGCGCAGCCATGTAAAACATCTCTCCCCTGCAGACTTGGAAAGGAAGGGGCCTTATCCGGCTTCTTACCCGTCCAGGATGAGGTTATCATACGTCGCTTTCTTATCACAGACCGGACAGATCCAGGTCGGCTTCTTCTCGTTCATTTGCAGGTAGAGAGCGGCGTCAAAGCACTGCAGGTGAGTGCAAGTCCCAGCCCGGCAGGGGATGGTCAGCCTCATTTTCCCCAGCTGGAGACCCAGCAGGGCAGAGAGAGAGAGAGAGAGAGAGAGAGAGAGAGAGAGAGAGAGAGCAGGGAGGGAAAATAAATTCCATTCTCAGGAAAGGAAACATCCCGTTTTTACCGCACAGGCACTAGCACCGTCCCGTTTTTGCTGTGTTGTGCCCCGTTCTCGCACCGCGCGGCACCCCGTTGGCATAGTGGCAGTGGAGCTCATGTGAGAGGGGGTGAGTGCGTGCACTGGTTAGCCTGTTCGGCGGCCCGGTAGCCAGGTAGTGGGCGACAGACCGCAGGTTGGGGACTCCTGTTATAGGGAGCTTTGAAGCCCTAGCAGAAAGTGTACCTTCCACATAATGTTGCACATAAAACTGCAGCCAGAGCAATCCTCACATTAAAGTAATGTGGCTTTTCTCCCACCATTACAGAAGCTTAATTCAACAACAACAACAACAAAAAACAGAAGGCTTCTCTTAGCTCTACTTACAGGACACATCAGCGATACCCGCAGGCTGGTGGTAGCAATTTCACTGTCTGGGTCAGCAGTGAGTTTTTCTTTAACTGGGAGGAAAAATAAAAGACAGAAGCATTAAAAATGCAGAGTGACTGCAAACACAATCGCTCATAAAATATGACTGCTAATACAATTGCTAATAAAAGTCATGCTTCACCTGCTTATCCTTTGAAAATCCAACGTAATATTAATATTATTTCATGTTAAACTCTTTAAAAAAAACCCAATGAACTCTGTGGTACAACTCTTGAAAATTCTGCGATCAGAATTTGGAGGCCTGGCAACTGGCATATACTTATGACGGTTGCAGTGTCCCAGGATCATGTAATCCCCTTTTGCGACCTTCTGACAAGCAAAGTCAATGGGGCGGGGAAGCCAGATTCATTTAACAACCATGTTGCTAACTTAACAACTGCACTGATTCACTTAACACCTGTGGTCAGAAAGATCGTCAAATGGGGCAAAATTCACTTAACAATTAGCAACAGAAATGTTGCCCTCTCAGTTGTGGTCGTAATTCAAGGACTACTTTTTATGTGCTGCCTCCAGTGTAAAATTAAGGCATCTGGAGGAGTAATGGGTGAGCCATGGAAAATTTGGGGCTGAATTGTGATTGTAAGCTGAACTCTACCTGTATGAGATGAACTTCTCTGCATTTTAAAGGTTGTCTGGAAACTTTTTAGCCTGTTTTATATTTCGTCGGCTTTCGGCTTTCTCTTAAACGAAAGCCCATCATTTTATTCCACCGATAATCTTGTAAGACAATAATGGAAATTATTCACTCCTGTGGAACTCCCATGAATGTTTTGGCAAGGAACTACCCAACCGCTTTCCTCCGAGTACGTTTGCTGGAGAAAACTGGAGCCCAATAACAGATTCCCGAAATCAAATAAATAAAAATAAAAATGCGAGAACGGCTTTACTCACTCAGCGCCCGAGAATGATCAGGGTTTCTAATGCCCTTCAATTTTAGTCTCTGTAGCAACATGGCGGAGGTCAGCTGGCGCACTAGATACACGGACATGGAGTAATTCTACAGGGGGGAAAATCGTAGAAGAATAAGTGAGGTCTGGTAGGTACTGAAGAATTAACACGCTCAAGGGTGTAAGGGTGCAGGTCCATACATTTGTTGTACAGTAGTGGCCAAAATTGTGGAAACCTTTTGGGAAAAGTGTACAGTAGAAATGCCACGTTTGGTTAAGTTTCCACCCATTTTTCTTCCAATTTCTTTATAACTGTAGCCTTGTTCACTTAATAATACTATTTTACATGGCTTTCTGGGTGACCCGTCAACTCTTTGCACCATGACTTTAATTTTATTACATTTTACAAGCTCACTAAATGGAAGAACACAAAAAAACCCAACCAACTTGATAGCCATCACATAACACCCTGACAAATGTCCTCCTCTCAGCTTCAATCCGTGACATCAGTCACTGAATCCTACTGTGATCTGATTGGCTCATGGCCAAAACAAGATGACACCTGATTGGCTCTCTAAACACTCACGCTCATTGGCTACAATCAGAGGAAGGAAAGCTACCTGAGATCAACCTAAGCAAGTTGTGCTTCCTTTTTCTGCTAATTTGGCTATAACTTTTCATAGAATACAGTACAGATAATTGAACAAACTCTGTTGCATTACATTCTTGATTAAATTATCTTTCCATTGATACGTAATTTAATGATACTACTCCCAAAAAAAAGTGGTGTTATTAGCCATCCAACCTCAAAAGTACACTTTTCCCAAAAGGTTTTCAAAATTTGGACCACTACTGTATATAGTGTGTTTAAATGTGTTATGCATGTGTACACTTTGAGAGCAAGCTACTCAATTTCATTTTTAATGTGTGCCGTGGTGCCCACAGGGAAAAATGACAATAAAGGTTATCATTACCAGCAGCATCAACTTTAATCTACAGCAGTGTTTCTCAACCTTGGCAACTTTTTTTTTTAATATTCAAATTTTTATTAATTTTCAAATAAACAAACAAGTTACAAATATGGTATACATTAAACAAAAGAAACCCCCCCATATCTATTCAGAGATGCTCAGCAGCCCCGCCCCCCTCCCGCGTCCACCCTCTCTTTCACCCTTCCTACCTACTTCCCTCCTTCTCTCTTCCTCCTACCTACACCTCTCTCCTCCTTCCTCCTCTCAACTACCCTACACATCCCACCTCCTTCCTTTCCTCATCCTTCGGACGCAGTCTGGGGGCGAAACTTGGCAACTTTAAGAGGGGTGGATTTCAATTCCCAGAATTCCCCAGCCACATTTTTCTTTAAGAAAAAGGAAGAAGAAAAAAAGACTGAAAAGACAGCTTACAGTTTACCTTTCCAATTTCAGATGTCCAGGATATAGAAATCTGGTTTGGCACCGCAGAGGAAAGTCTAACTAATGACGTAATATTCAAGGGACGTCCAGGCCGTTTCTGTTCAATTCCGTTTTTAGGTGGAGGCGCGTAGCCCTGAAAAACACAGCATTTTCCCCCATTCTTTATTTTCCTGTAGGGATTTATTTTTAGCCCGCCTTTATTATTTTTATAAATAACTCAAGGCAGCAAATGTTATCTAATGCAGGGGTCCCCAACCCCCCTGGTCCGTGGACCAGTACCGGGCCACAGCATGCCACCAACCGGTCCGCACAAACAAGCAAAGCCCCGTCCGCGGGATGCAGGCAGCACACAAAACCACACATCCTCCGGTCCGCGGAATAACCTCTCTCCATTGAACCGGTCCCTGGTGCCCAAAAGGTTGGAGGGCCTCTGCTCTAGGGCCTATCTGAACATCAGTGTAGTAATTTAAGGGAATCAATTTGTTTGCTTCCAGTAGTTTCACTAACACCTGCAACCCACATTTTGCATCTAGCTTGGTGACACTTAATTATGAGTGTGTTTACTTAGAAGTCACTCACTGCAGCCATGCAGGAATGTGCTTGTTAACCAGGGCTGTATAGAGGTTGCAGCTTCCGGAGAACATGAATTGGATCACACTTGGTGCCTGCTTGGCTAGCTTATGACTCAGTGCGTTGTGTAAACCAGGGGTCCCCAAACCCCGGTCTGTGGACTAGTACCGGGCCGCAGCATGCCAGCAACCGGTCCGCACAAACAAGCAAAGCCCCATCCGCGGGATGCAGGCAGCACACAAAACCACACACACACACTCCGGTCCGCGGAAAATCCTCTCTCCACGGAACCGGTCCCCGAAAAGTTGGGGGCCTCTGATCTAATGCTCCTTTGTCCTTCTGTTTTGTCGGATAGAGGCCATAGCATAATTTATCTAAAATTATGAAAGGGTTCAACTGACTCTCGCAGAAGCATTAAGCGTGCGCTTCGTTCTTTCTAGCTATTTGCTACAAAGCTGAGTGAATCTATCCCCCTGGAGCTCATTCCCACATCAAGCAAGACGGTTCTTGTGACTCAATGACATATTTGGGGACAGTAAAAAGGCCACCTGGAGTTACAAGGGGATTCAAAACACCATTATCACAGGTTATAGCAGTGGTTCTCAACCTTTTTAATGCCGCGACACCAACCGATCGTAAGTCGAGGACTAAACCGGTCGTAAGTCGAGGACTAAACCGGTCGTAAGTCGAGGACTAAACCGGTCATAAGTCGAGGACTAAACCGGTCATAAGTCGAGGACTAAACCGGTCGTAAGTTGATGACTACCCAACCGGTCGTAAGTCAAGGACTTTCCCTGCCCGGGAGCGCCGCGCATGCGTGGTTCCGCCCCCTGCACCAGCAGAGGCGTAGCTGGCAAGCGGCAGAGACGGAGCCGGCCGACCACCAGCTGGCCCAGCCCAAGGGAGGTAAGGCACCCGCTGGAAAAGGGGGGAAAAAATGGACAAAAAAAATGGCGGACAGTCTTGCTTGGCGACCCCCGTGAAATGGTCGATCGACCCCAAATGGGGTCCCGACCCACAGGTTGAGAACCACTGGGTTATAGGCAGCCCTGGAACTGTCTCCTTCTAGCCCTTTTCTTCTCAAGAAGTAGAAAAGGAAAACTAGAACGAGAAGTGCAAAGATGTTCAGTTATTTTTTTGCAAATACAGGTAGCCATAACTGGCCACAATTGAGTCCCAAAATTCTGTTGCTAAGTGAGGCCGTTGTTACGTGAATTTCACCCCATTTTACAACCCCTCTTGCCACAGTTCTTTTTTTAAAAATAAATAATATTTTATTAATTTTCTATTTTTACAAATCGTAAGTGCCGAGTAAACAACGTGGTGTCTGGATCCCTTTTTTAAAAAACTTAATAATACACATTACATTCCTAATCTTTACCCCTCTTTTTTCCGGCCAATGATAAACTACATCCCATATTTAAAATGATCTTATGTATTCTTTTTCTTTATCCTTCAGTATCGATCTGTCCATTTCTACACATTCCGGGGTTTTTCTTGTTCATCTCTACTTCAGGTAACGTTTCTCCATTTTTTCCAGCACTAAGCAAATACAATTCTTACGGCTATTACTACATGCAACATGAAGTATATACTTCCTCGTCCTATTTTTTTCTAACATTATGCCTAATAAAAAATAGTTCCAGTTTATAACATCTTTTCTAGCCAACTCGTATCTCAATTGTATTTGCAACTGAGGCCATCTTATTATTATTGTTGACAGAGTTCTTAAGTGCATCGCTGTAGTTGTTAATAACGTGGTTGTAAAGTAAATCTGGCTTTAAAACCGACTTTGTCAGGTCACAAAAGGGAATCCCAGGACCGTCATAAATGTGAACCAGTTGCCTAGCATCTGAATTTTTATCATGTGACCCCTGGGGATGCTGCAATGGCCGTAAGTGTGAAAAATGGTAGCATTAATTTTGAACTGTCACTAAAGAAATGGTTAAGTCGAGAACTGTAAATCGCAGGATTCTTTTTTCGTTCTGTTTTCCGTTCACAGAATTTTGGACGCATTAACTGTTCTCAGAACGGATCCAAATATTCCAGCAGGCAATCTACCTCAGTGTCGAAGAAACAATGATAAGATGGGCGAAAAAAATTTTTGGTTATAATATAGAATTAGAAAAATGGCAAAATTTATGGGAAAGAAACTATAAATTGACAATGTCAACTTCCTATAAAGAAAACTTATACAAAATGTTTTATAGATGGCACCTGCCACCAGCAAGATTAGCAAAAATGTTTAAAAAATATGTCAGGTAGATGTTGAAAATGTAAACACAAGTCAGGTACGTATTATCATGTTTGGTGGACATAATTATTGGGAAAAAGATACATACTTGGCTAGAAAAGATGTTAGGAGAACATGTTGATTTTAAACCTGAACTTTTTGAATTAGGTACAATGCCAAAAAAACACTAATAAACAAAGCTTATACTTGACTTTGCATGTCACAACAGCGGCAAGAATTATATTGGCGCAACACTGGAAAAACGAAGGAATACCATCAGATGAAGAAATAATTAAAAAAATACTAGAACGCGCAGAGATGGACAGACTGACTATGAGACTGAAAGAAAAAGAAGAATCAGACTATTATCAAACTTGGGATTTATTTTTACCATTGGCTGGAGGAAAGAAGAAAGGATTAGGAATTAAATATGTATTAGCATGTAAACCCTGACAGCACGTTGGTTGAAAAATTATTATTGTATGTATGGAAAAAATGAATAAAAAAAACTTATACAAAAAAAACAAATCTACATCAGTGTGTCCAACCTTGGCATCTTTAAGACCTGTGGACTTCAACTCCCAGAATTCCTCAGCCTGTTGAAGTCCACAGGTCTTCAAGATGCCAGTCTTGATCTACAGTGATGTTAAATCCAGGAGATTTAAGTACAAAGACAGAGCAACGTTCAGTTTCGGGCAGAAGAGCATTTAATTTTTTTTTCTAATATCTTATATATAAAAATGTAAATGTTTGTTTGTTCAAAACCTTAAATCTCCGAAAGTTCTTCACCGATTGCTTTGAAATTTTGACACAACGTTGCATTCGAATACGCGCGTGTTTTTATATACCTACTATTATATAGATGTTACACCTGTGACAGGTGAAAACATGTTTTTTAAAACAGCGCCATCTGTTGGACGTAAAAGCAACACACGCTACGATTTCAACTTAAGAGATTGCAATTCCCAATTCGATTGGTATTCAGGGCCAATCTTTAGAATTGTGCGGTTTAGATCTAGACATAGACACGGATTGCTTCTCACATGGACAATTATATGTTGCGTGTTCTAGAGTCGGCAAACCAGACAATCTCTCTATCTGCACAGACAATGGAACAACAAAAAAATATTGTATACCCACAAGCATTGTGAAATTAAACATATTACAAACGTGCGCTTTCTCTTTTCTTTCTTTTCCATTTAACCAGACTGAGCGTGGCCGGGGACAGCTAGTACTTTTATATATTCTTTTTAAAATGGTGAATCACCCAGAGTCGTGAACTTGAGAAGGGCACCCATACACCACGATGTAAAAAAGATGCTGAGACTCTAGAAAGAGTACAGAGAAGAGCAACAAAGATGATCAAGGGACTGGAGGCTAAAACATATAAGGAACGGTTGCTGGAATTGGGTATGTCTAGTTTAACGAAGAGAAGGACGAGGGGGGACAGGATAGCAGCCTTCCAGTATCTCAGGGGCTGCCCCAAAGAAGAGGGAGTCAAGCTATTCTCCAAAGCCCCTGAAGGCAGGACAAGAAGCAACGGATGGAAACCGATCAAGGAGAGAAGCAACCTAGAACTAAGGAGAAACTTCCTGACAGTGAGAACAATTAACCAATGGAACAACCTGCCTCCAGAAGTGGTGAATGCTCCAACACTGGAAGTTTTTAAGAAGAGACTGGACAGCCATTTGTCTGAAATGGTATAGGATTTTCTGCCTGAGCAGGGGGTTGGACTCGATGACCTCCAAGGTCCCTTCCAACTTTTTTTATTATTATTATTATTATTATTATTATTATTATTATTATTATTATTATTATTATTATTATTATTATTATTATTATTATACATTCAAATAATAAATACATCTAAATAACTCAGTAACCGTACCGGCAATGGGAAGAGCTTCCCGTTTACTTTTATGCATAAACTATTGGGGTAGTTGTCCTCTTGAGGGCAGCTCGTTTCTGCTAGGCAGAGTCTGTTTGCAAAAAAAAGGAAAAACTTGTTCAGTCAGTGAATTTCAGTCACCATTCATTCCAGCTAAGGAAGGCATTAGGGCTACGTTATCGTTAAGAAAGATGGGAATCACCTGAGTTGAACCTGCACCGTGTAATCTCTTCTGCCTCCGGGCAAAAAGTCCCTGCAGCAATGGAAACAGAAATTGAGTTTAGACAGATCTGACCTCCATCTTTCAACATGAACTTTCTCCTGGCCGGTGTTATGATCCACCGCTTCAATAAAGATCAGAGGGGCGGACACGTTTATAAAGACAAGTTTCTCCCCATATATTGCGAGTTATTTTCAGACAACGTACTAACCAGCATTCCCAGGGGCAGAAAATAAACTATGAAGAAAGTGAGGTAGGAAATCTTAGAGGACGAAGGACCACATTTATTAACACTGTCGTATTTGAAGCCAGGGGCAACTGTAACGCAAGTACCCCACGACTAACTGTGATAGGCTGTTACTCATCGTAGCTTTATTGGTGGCATGCAGGAGGCAAGATGCAAGCTAAGTGGTATTATCCAGATCTGTAGGATCCACTTTCTCGTGCATTTCTGACATTGCTGAGTAAAAACGTTCGGTAGCCAAAAGATCCGTTTGTCAGGATTAAAGTTTGGGTAATAAAACATCTGCAAGAAAACCAACAAGCTCTGAGCAATAAATCTTCTCTTCTATCGGTGAAGATCTATTTCAGCTATGGTTAAGTTTGGCACAAAAAGGACCAATCAAAATATTCAGTGACAAATGACCATTATTCCTTCCTTCTTTTTTATTAGGGCTATTGAAACTGGAGCAGAATGCTTCATCAATTTACTAGGATCGCTCGGCTTAGTATGAAGAGTTACCTGCTAAAACAGGGGTCTGTCTCCAACCGTGGCAACTTTAAATCTTGTGGATTTCAATTCCCAGAATTCCCCAGCCAGCTTTGCTGGCTGGGGAATTCTGGGAGTTGAAGTCCACATGTCTTAAAAGTTACAAAGGTTGGAGACCCCTGTACTACAAACCCTTTCTTCTAGCCCAAACAGGGTCTATACCTGTAGCGTAGGTATTAAAAAAATCAAACCAGCCTTGGGAGCAAATTAGATTTTAAAAAATGGCCCTGTGAGAACATGGGGGTCTCTTATCCAAACCACTATTCATTGTGGACAATGCAGTAGTATGAGAAATCTTGGCATTGTCTATTTTGCATGCTGGTTTTTCTAGTGATGTCCTCAACTGGACCGCAGGACTGCAAAAATAAAATAAAATAAAAATCCCACACCCCATTTAGGATAGGGACATCTGGATGAATCCTGCCTTTGTTGTCCAGCCTTAATAAGCAGCATACCCCTTTCCGAACAGCTCAAACAGAGAGAGAACGCCTACGTGTAGGATGAATTTGTTGTCATGTGTTACACATTTACAGACACTCAAGGCCATAAGCGCCAGTGGGAGGGGTAAAAATGCCCACTGGCAAAAAAAAAAAAAAAAAAAAAAAAAAAAAAAAAAAAAAAAAAAAAAAAAAAAAAAAAAAAAAAAAAAAAAAAAAAAAAAAAAAAAAAAAAAAAAAAAAAAAAAAAAAAAAAAAAAAAAAAAGAAAGAAACATCAGTGAGGATAAATAAAAATGCAAAAGGAAAGAATAAACCATCGCTGACAGATAGGAAGAAATAAAATGAAAAAAGAAAAAAAAGGAAATAGGGCCCCATTAAATGAAAGCTTGAAAAATGTTGAAGAGTCAACCGTTCCAGAGATTCTACGGCAGTCAAAGTTGTAGTGAGGGAAAATGCCTTAAAAATGGTATCAATGAAATATTCTGAGTTTGGAGGTTTTCAACATTTCCATCAGCGCGAATCTCTGAAAGCAGGATGAAAAAACAGAAAAGTTTTTGGGGATAAATAACTGTCCCTAGAGTTCAGCTTTGCTGTGTCGAGAGTGTTCACTCCTTTTGATGTATCAAAGTCTGGTTTTTTTGGACACGAGTTGTACGAGAATTGGTATAAATTAATGGTTAATTTTATTTCAATATGTACATATCACTTTTGTAAGTACATGTCCCTAACAGTGTACGCAGGTAATCATATATACATTTTTTTCTCTGACAGAAATAATGGGAGTTTCAGGTATCCCGCAAAAACAAAATATTACATGGCCTGTTAATCCAATTGTGCTTCCGTTTGAGTTCATATAATAAATATTCTATTTATTTATTAAACAGAATAGGCATTGTGTAAACCAAATCCACTAGATTTCTCTGTAAACAGTGATTGTTTTCTAGTTTAAAGTTTCAGAGGGGCAGGAATTCAGTAACATTTGAAGCATAGCCCACGGTTTCACCAACCCAATTAAGAATCCTGACCAAATTTCAGCTACGATGTACATGTCCAAAATCCAAAGCAAAAAATATTAACTATCAATTTATATGCTTTACTTCTAACAAATCTTATCACATTAGTTTTAGGGCTGCGGACACCTTTGAATATAATTCAGAAAAAAAGCAGGGGCTGGATCAACCCACTTCTGCTTTTAAGTAAACCTGCAGTCTCCCTAAAAATGGAATTAGATTTAATAAGTTGAGTTTCTTAAAGGAGCCATATTTTTCAAGGTCAGATTATGAAAAAATAACAGACTGCTTTAACAAACAGCAAAAATGTGCTGCTTTGCTTTGAATTATTTTCAAAGTATACACGTTGTTTTCAAGGTTTTATTTGCATAACAAAAATTTGAAATGTAGACTTGCAGACACTGGGGAAGGCAACTAACACAAGATAATAAACGCAAGGAAATAACAATTTTGCTTTGAGAGAACTCGCAAAATGCCCAATACCTAGCAAGTATTGGGAGATAAAATGTCTAAGGTAGGTTTTTTTCATGATATGAAACTGGGCCCAAGGAAATTCAGACCCAGCTTTCTGCTATTACCTGGAAATGCAGATTTCTCTGACTTGTTGAGGTGTTAGAGCAAAAATAAAGAACTTCTCCTGGAATCTCTGAATACTGCTCTGTACTAAAGAGAAAGAGAGAGGAAAGATTGTTGAGCTAAATGCAGGAAATCTCTTCTGACTCATACAAAACACATGGAACCATCAATGCACAGTAAAGCTTCCACACATATAACTATCAAATGTGCACTAAGTAAGAAAGCTCTAAAACTCAAAATATCTCCATCCTTTCTCAAAACCGTTGTATTTACATTCTTCAGGAACTTGATAAGTTCACAACTTTACAGTAATCATAACAGAGAATAGATTTGCACCTGAGGAGCTGATAAGTTGCAAGCAGTATTAAGAAAAAACGTTCTCTACTTACAGATGGCTAAGAAACTGTGTTGATAATAAATACCGTATTTTCCGGCGTATAAGACGACTTTCTAAACCCTGAAAATCTTCTCAAAAGTCGGGGGTCGTCTTATACGCCCGGTCGTCTTATACGCCGGAAAATACGGGTATTCTATTTTATTCCTTTACACATGTGGTTTGGCATATTACTCATCAAGGTTTCTCTCCCCCCCCCCCCTCTCGCTCAAACTCTATATTTTAACTGGAAAAGTTGGGGGTCGTCTTATATGCCCAGTCGTTTTATACGCCGGAAAATACGGTACTTAAACCACATACAGAGTTCTTTGTATCTGCTTAAGTAAGGTAGGATAAGGACTTTGAAAGACAGATCTGATATATACACCTGCTTTCCAACTATACTGTGCAATCAGCACGTTCAGAACTACGCTATTTTCAAAGTTGATTTCTAGAGCGCCCAATGTGTTTCCTCAGTTTCCCTGATCGTTTATATTCCTTTATCTCTGGATCAAAGGCTTGGCTGGGTTCACCACTTCCTCCCTATGGCCAGATAAATAAAAGTGGCCTCTGCTTCTGTTGGCATGTGTGGCTTCTGGGCTGCATTTGCCATGGCAGTTACAAAGGGCTCCGTCAACATCACAGAAGCATTTCCACATAGCAGCACGTGCCAGCCAGTGGACCCGGCAGCTGAGTCTGGGGAATCAGAAGAGGAGGAGGAGGAGGAGGAGGAGGAGGGGCTGGAGAGTTGGAGGAAGGCTCCCACGAGCTCCAGGACTTACAATCTGATGAAGAGCCTGGCCCCACCACTCGTGCTCAGGCTGAGATCCAGCTGTGCTGGGAAGCGGAGTCAGACTCTGAGGACTCACAGCTGGAAGACATCATAGAGAAAAGAAGGACTAGGGGTGACAGGATAGCAGTCTTCCAGTATTTGAGGGGCTGCCACAAAGAGGAAGGGGTCAACTTATTTTCCAAAGCATCAGAAGCAAGACTAGAAACAACGGATGGAAACTATTCAAGGAGAGAAGCAACCTGGAATTAAGGAGAAATTTCCTAACAGTGAGAATAATTAACCAGTGGAACAGCTTGCCACCAGAAGTTGTAGGTGCTGCATCACTGGAGTTTTTTTTTTTTTTTTAAAGATTGGACAGCCCCGTCTGAAATGGTACAGGGTCTCCTGCTCGAGCAGGGGGTTGGACTAGCAGACCTCCAAGGTCCCTCCCAGCTCTATTCTGATTGACTGATTGATTGATTGAATCTTGTGCAAAGAAGAGAATTGAATTAGATGATTTCCAGAGTCACTTCTAATCCTATGGCTCAGTTGGAAGAGCCTACTATAGACTAGGGAGCTTGTAGTTTTCCTGAGCAAAACCCCTGACCTTACACTCACAGACTGCTGAAAACCACAGACCCCTTTTTCCTTCACCTGTACAAAAGAAAGACTGCCTTTTCAATCCCAATCTGACAACTTTCCTCAGTTATAAGATCAGATAACATGCAGACTAAGGGAACATTGCACAGCTTCATTTGCTGCTTTATTTATAGCACTGAGAGACGTTATGCACAGGAACAATTCAAAATCCCATATTTAAATATATATATATATATATATATATATATATATATATTTTGCAATATGTATACCTATCGGCACACCATACTACAGCTATAGCTCTTTTTTTTTTAAAGGCTACCGCACTTAAAAATGGGAGTGCTGATCAGGTGGAACATATAACAATCACACAATTCTAAGTTAGTCTTTGTCTGGATTGGGAACAATAGTCAAGGCAAACCGCTTTGGCATGGAAAAAAATCAGAGAAGAGCAACTAAGATGATCCAAGGCCTGGAGACTAAAACATACGAAGAACGGCTGCGGGACTTGGGTCTGGCCAGTCTAAAGAAAAGAAGAAACAGGGGAGACGTGATAGCAGCGTTCCACTATTTGAGGGGCTGCCACAAAGGAGAGGAGGGGGTCAAGCTATTCTCCAAAGCACCAGAGAGAGAAGGACGAGAAACAATGGTTGCAAACTGACCAAAGAGAGAAGCAACCTGGAATTAAGGAGAAATTTCCTAACAGTGAGGACAATCAAGCAGTGGAACAGCTTGCCACCAGACATCGTGGGCACTCCATCGCTGGAGGTTTTCAAGAAAAGACTGGACAGTCACTTGTCTGAGATGATCTAGGTCAGGGGTAGGCAACCTGGGCTCTTTTATGACTCGTGAACTTCAACTCCCAGAATTCCTGAGCCAGCATGGGGGAACTATGGCCCCCTTGATGACTGGTGGACTTCAACTCCCAGAATTCCTGAGGCAGCCATGCTGAGGGGAAAGGGAGAGGTTTCCATGCTGGCTCAGGAATTCTGGGAGTTGAAGTCCACAAGTCATAAAAGAGCCAAGGTTGCCTACCCCTGACCTAGGTTCTCCTGCTCGAGCAGGGGGCTGGACTAGAAGACCTCCAAGGTCCCTTCCAGCTCTATTCTATTCTACGCCGCCTTATTTTCTCTGCCCTGACAAAGCCTTTGTGTCCAAGGTGTGTCTTGCAGCACACTTACCTAAGCTGGTCGGCTTTATGAGGACATCCAGCACATCGTAAAAAGGGAGATTCTTCAACTGGACGTCGGGATGCACTGGAGGGGCCGACGGGGACGGCTGCTGCATCTCAAAGCGAGGCTTGGTGTCTTGGAGCAACACTGAAGCAAGAGGAGAGGCAGGCGACTGAGGGGCGGCCGAAGTGGAAGGGGCGGGATGCAGTCCGGGCACGGCTACGTCGGGCTCCGCCGGAGAAGAGCTACTGTCCAGGTTGAAAACCGAAGACTTCAGCGCAGCCAAGTCAGAGAGGCCTTCAATTGTCCGGGGGTAGCGGCGCCTGTAGAGTTCCCGGATCTTGATCTGGACCGCTGGGCTACAGCCACTCTTCAGCAAGTGCAAAGCCCTCATGAGGAGGTCATGTTTGCGCCCGCTTTTGTTACGTCCGGCAAAACCCAGCAACACTTGCAGTTCAGACACCCGAAAACTCGATACCATATTCTAGGGAGTAACGACAGATCAAGAATATGTCAGAGGATGGGCAGTGGCAGGAGGGAGTGATAGCCCTAGGACTCAGGGGTAGGCAACCTCGGCTCTTTTATGACTCATGGACTTCAACTCCCAGAATTCCCAAGTCAGCTGTGCTGAGGGGAAAGGGAGAGGTTTCCAAGCTGAGCCATGCTGGCTCAGGAATTCTGGGAGTTGAAGTTCAGAAGTCATGAAGGGGCCATAGTTCCCCATGCTGGCTCAGAAATTCTGGGAGTTGAAGTCCACAAGTCATGAGGGGGGCATAGTTCTCCCATGCTGGCTCAGGAATTCTGGGAGTTGAAGTCCACAAGTCATGAGGGGGGCATAGTTCTTCCATGCTGGCTCAGGAATTCTGGGAGTTGAAGTCCATGAGTCATAAAAGAGCCAAGCTTGCCTACCCCTGGTCTAGACTCTAGGCCTAGGGTCTTCAAACTTGGCCCTTTTATGACTCGTGGATTTCAATTCCCAGAATTCCTGAGCCAGCCACACTGAGGGGAAAGGTTTCCAAGCTGAGCCATGCTGGCTCAGGAATTCTGGGAGTTGAAGTCCACCAGTCATAAAAGAGCCAAGGTTGCCTACCCCTTTATCTAGCCCACCCACCCCCCTCTGCTCAAGCAGGAGACCCTTGATCAGGAGTCTCAAAGCTTCGTGACTTTCAGACTCGTGGACTTCAACTCCCAGAATTCCTGAGCCAGCATGAGGGAAACTTTGGCCCCCTCGTGACTCATGGACTTCAACTCCCAGAATTCCTGAGCCAGCCTGGCTCAGCTTGGAAACCTCTCCCTTTCCCCTCAGCATGGCTGGCTCAGGAATTCTGGGAGTTGAAGTCCACGAGTCATAAAAGAGCCAAGGTTGCCTACCCCTGACCTAGGTTAAAAAGTTAAAACAAATATCGTGTTATTTACATCGTAATACGGGCAACAAAACCTTCACAATTTAGGCTGTTTTGATTTTTACCGAAATATTGAGAGTATTGCAATTGGGATGTAGTTAAAAACCCCTACTCAAAACTGCGTCTCACACATACACGGCACGCATTCCTCTCAATAACTGTGTCTTTTCATAGAGCCAGCAACGTAACCTCCACAATGATAGCGATAAAGTAAAACGGAAGCTCTGACGGAGCGACACATTTATAGCGCAGAGTTAAAAGCCCAAAAACGCTCATTTGGGTTGCTGTCCTGTTTTTTGTTGCGCAGTTTTTCAGAATTTCATAGCCACACAGGGGATCTCATAGTCACATCCATCTTCTTGTTCCAGGCAGGATATTTGTGGTTAGAGTTCAGCTCAGAGGCGTCAGTTAATCTGCACGCATTCCTTGCAACACTCAACCAGCGACTTGAGGTGGAAGTCTACTTGATAAACGCAGAAATAAATAAAACAAATGTTATCATCTCCTTAAATTTTCTCAGGGCTAAATGTAGCTACTCTTTGTCTGCCTTCGTTTATCTAAGACAGGGCTTTTCAACCTTTTCACTCATTGTACCACTTTTAGGATATGGCAACATTCAAGTACCACCAGTCACCTAGCAAGGTGTCAAAAACTTGATGACCCCCCCCCAAAAGGGAAAAAAGTGATGAAGTACAGGTAGTCCTCGACTTACAACAGTTCGCTTAGTGACTGTTCGAAGTTACAATGGCACTGAAAAAAGTGCCCCCCAAGCCACAGCCAAGCAAGACACCTGCCTGCGCACCCGGAGGCGCTCTTCCTCCTGTCCGAGGTTTCCATTGTTGTGAGCATTTCTGTTGAGGATTGGCAGTGGGGGTGGGGTGGGGGGGTGTTTGGTTTTTATTCCCCCCCATCTGCTGGGTAGTTGCAGCAGGTTTTGGTCACTTCACATGACCCTGGGACACTGTGACCGTCATAAGTATGAATCAGTTGCCAAGCATCTGAATGTAAATCACAAGACCCTGGAGAGGCTGCAACATTCCAGCTGATCGGCGCTTCTTCAGGGGTCAGCAGAAGCACCAGGATCAGCGCCGAGCTCCAGCTGGAGCCTGGCGCTGATCCTGGCCCTTCTGCTGAGCCCTAACAGCCCCGAAGCGCCGATCAGCTGGAAAGCGGCACTGATCCTGGCGCTTCCGCTGAGCCCTGACAGCCCTGCAGCTCCAGCCGTTTCCCGCTCAGGCTCGTGCAGTGCTGCCAGCGGTTCAGCTCATTCCCCTCCCCTGCTACCCCTTTTCTGGGATGGTCGCGTACCACCTGCCAGGTGCCCATGTACCACAGGTGGTACCCGTACCACTGGTTGAAAAGCCCTGTTCTAATTGATGTGATTGCTTCCAGAGACGTGTATCGTATTTTTTGTCATTGTAGTGCCGCTGTAACTTCTAACGTTTGCTAAAGGAACTGTTGTAAGTCGAAGACTGCCTGTATATGAAAGTTTTGACTGTCATTAGACTTGTCATTTTTTTTTTCTGACTTTAGTCCCCCGTATTTTCCAAGATGCCAGTCACGTGATGCCGCGCTTTACATCCGGGGTGCTTTGCGATGAAGATTCCCATCCCAAATTCCATCCTTAAGTGAGGACTATCGGTATAATAATGCATATTTACGCGACTTCTGAGCTTTATTCCTCTTGGGAGTTTGGGGACACATTTTGCTATCTTCTTGTAGAGCCCGACCTCGGCTCCACTTTGACTTTCTATTATTTGGGTTGTGTCTTGTCTTTCAATTTCAAGAGAAATTGGTGTGCAGGAATACAGGCAGCACCAATAAAGGAGAATATCTGCAGTTCAGGGTTGAAATGAGGGATTCGTGGTGCCCTCTGAGCTTGGTTGTCTTCTTGCACAAGTTTCATTACACAAACTAGGTAACATCATTGATGCTAATCCTAGCATTAGTGCTAAGGATGTTACCTAACTCGGGTAATGAAAGGTCTGCAAGAAAGCTTAGAGAGTACTAAGGATCCCTCACATGCAGCACATACTGCAACCAATTTTGGTCACCATATCACAAAAAAGATGTTCAGACCTTGGAAAAAGTTCAGAGAAGAGCAACTAAGATGATCCAAGGCCTGGAGACTAAAACGTAGGAAGAACGGCTGCAGGACTTGGGTTTGGCTAGTCTAAAGAAAAGAAGAAATAGGGGAGACATGATAGCAGAGTTCCAGTATTTGGGGGGCTGCCACAAAGAAGAGCAGGGGGTCACATTATTCACCAAAGCACCAGAGGGAAGGACGAGAAACAATGGTTGGAAACTGATCAAGGAGAGAAGCAACCTGGAATTAAGGAGAAACTTCCTGACAGTGAGGACAATTAACCAGTGGAACAGCTTGCCACCAGAAATCGTGGGTGCTCCATCGCTGGAGATGTTTAAGAAAAGCCTGGAGAGTCACCTGTCTGAAATGGTATAGGTTCTCCTGCTTGAGCAGGGGGCTGGACTAGAAGATCTCCAAGGTCCCTTCCAGCTCTATTCTATTCTATTCTATCCTATCCCATAATTCTATTCTATTCTATTCCATTCCATTCCTATTCTATGCTACTCTATTCTACTCTATTCCATTCCTATTCCATATTATTCTATTTTATCCCATAATTCTATTCTATTCTATCCTATCCCACTCCTATTCCATATTATCTATTCTTTTCTATTCTTTTCTATTCTATTCTATTCTATTCTTTCTCTATTCTATTCTATTCTATTCTATTCTTTCTCTATTCTATTCTTTCTCTATTCTATTCTACTTTAAATTCTATTCTAATTCTATTCTAAATTCTATTCTAATTTTTTTTTTACCTATCAGTAGTTCCCTTAAAGAAGCTTTGTGATTTCCCAGGATGACACCTGCATGGCCCCCTTTCACTGCTACAGCGCAATCCTGAGAAAAGTTTCACTTAATCTGAGTAGTTCTCAGCTGTTATCTGCACACCTGCAATCGCCCCCAAAACAATTTTCTCTCCAAAACATAGCATGGCCGTAACAGCACTGTGATAAATGACGAAAGAAACGAGTAGAAATATACTTTTGCAATTTCAAGTACTTTGCAATAATAACCGTCTCTTCATTTCAACCATCAAAGAAATCAGTTATACAGTGCTATTTGGTTAATCAATGCTGAACATGTCAGATTGCCGTTTAACGTTTCAAGGGAGAAATTGTCAACAAATGGAGGGAGAAACCAAAGATATAAAACGTGGGTTTTTTTTAAAAAAAATAATCTGACAGAATTCTCAATTGAATACACAAGCAGGATATTGTTAAACTGTTAACATCTTAATTTTCCTTTTTAACAGTTCTCAGGCCAATAAACTTTCCAAAGACTGTGCCATCAATTAAAATTTGAACTGAAATCAAATTAAACAGAAGATACTGGGAGAAGGGAAGGTTCTTTCAAACCATACTTGTACTTTTCTTCTTCTCTCTTTGGCCATTAATAAAAATATTTTGTATACTAAAAAGTATTGCTTTAACAAGTCAGAATAAAATCGTAACTACAAAAAGTTAGACCCTGCATATCTGCCTCCCCTCCCAAAAAAAATTAAATCAGCTTCAGGACATAAAATAAAACAAAAGTCATAAAAGTATACAAGAGGTGGAGGTGACTTATGACCCAGAATTTCTGACGCAAATCATGACAGCTGTAAATCGAGACGTCCTTGTGACAACCTGATTTTACCACCTTTTTGGCAGCGGTTGTTAAGCAAACATGGCGGTCGTTAAGCGAATCCATTCCTATGGATGTTTATGCTTGGAAACTGGCCGAAAAGACCAATTTTTGGCTAAAACAGCTGTAAACAGCATCACACGATTGCAGAATGTCGCAACTCTGAGACGGCAGGTTAAGAAGTGTGAAAAAAGCATAAATATAAATATATAAACTGGCCATAAGGCCAGCCAGTTGCCAAGCTTGCCTCGTTACTATGGGAGTTGCCACCTTGTTATCTTTGGGGTGGGGTGGGGGGTTGCATCATAATTTCAACCAGTGGCTAAGCAACCGGTCATTAAGTGAGAACTATCTATAGTTAAATCTACAAAGCACTGTTAAGACTTTGTTAACTCAAGTGACATGATCCATCGGCATTATCTTCAGCCCGGTAATCTATTATCTAACAATAATGGATTCGAAAGCAGATTGCCTATAAAAGCTTTCAGAGATTTCTTCAGGAAAGTCTCTTCACATCCAGGACTTCAAGAGCAAAACCCAGAGGTGAAAAGCCCAACCTTGCCTATTTATTTATTTTTTAAACCGTTCTCAAACAATCGATGGGGGTCGCCTCTCAAGTACATAGAGTATTAAGATACTCAGAGAGGGCCTGGTACTTTCTGTGGGTTCAATGGAGGGAAGGAAACCCAGCAGGGAAAAAGCAGAAGCTTCAGAAAAGGGCCTTTGTGAGAATGGAAGGGGGGGGGGGGGAGAAGGATGTAAGAAAGGAAGAGCAGAATTAGGATCCCAGAAGGGGTTAGTTAGGCGGATAAAGAGCACAGGAAAATAATTTGTAATAGTCCCCAAACATCCCTCTTTATCAAAGTGAGAAAGGAAGCTGTTTTTCTCGCCACCAAGAGCCTGGAATTGGAACGGACAGAGAGGCTGAGAAGGACGCAAGGGAGAAAGGCGGACTGACTGACTCCGGAGCTGCAGGGACACAAAAGCCCATCGTTCTGGGCCGCAGGGGAAGCCAAACGGAGTGAATTGCTGGTGGGAAAGGCGACCTCTAAGAATCACAACAGGAGGGGCTGCTCCGAGGAAGGTATGGGCTAGGGGGGACTTAATAAAATAGGAAGGGGGCTGATAGGGCTGACTTAAGAAATGAGGGATTAAGGGAGACGTAGGAAGCAAGGGTGTGTGTGTGATAAGGGGGACCTAAGATATAAGGGAGGGGGGGTTAGGGTGAGTTAGAAAATAAGGAGGGATTGCTAGGAGTGATTTAGGGAATAAGGGGGGGGCTGATATGGATGACCTAAGACATAAGGGAGGGGGCTTAGGGTGAGTTAGAAAATAAGGGGGGTTGATAAGAGTAACTTAGGAAATAAGGGGGGGGTTGCTAGGAGTGATTTAGGGAATAAGCAGGGGGGCTGATAGGAGTGATTTAGGGAATAAGGGAGGCTGATTAGAGTAACTTAGAAATAAGGGGGGGGCTGATAGGGGTGACCTAAGAAATGAGGGGGCTTAGGGTGAGTTAGAAAATAAGGGGGGGTTTGATGAGTAACTTAGGAAATAAGGGGGGGCTGATAGGGATGACCTAAGA